CTTACTCTCTTCTCATCCCTTCCTCTGCAATCCACCTGCTTACTCTCTTCTCATCCCTTTCTCTGCAATCTCTCCCCTCTAGGGAGTAGGAAGGGAAGAAAAAAACAATCACAGGCCTGGTGGAATGGGGAATTCTGGGAGTTGGAAGTCCACCAATCTTCAATCGGGGATCTCCAACCTTGGTAACTTTTAAGACGTTGTGGACTTCCAACTCCCAGAATTCTCCAGCTGGATCATGCTGGATTCTCTTCGAAGAACCCTTGCTGGCTGGGGAATTCTGGGAGATTGGAAGACTTCCACCAAGTCTTTTCAAAGCGGCCAAGTTTGAAGATTCCCTAAGACATGAGAATCTAGCAGATCCCTGGGAACGGGGCATCTTTTGGCCTTGTTTGTTCCTAGGTTTTTGGGGTTTGTTTTTTTTGGTTTTTTAATTTAAATAACTCTACTGCAGGGGGGTTCAACCTTGGCCCCTTTAAACAAAAACTTGTGGACTTCCAACTCCCAAGAATTCCCTATCCAGCTCTTTATTATTATTATTATTTTTCCCCTCACTTTGCCAAAGTCGAGAGATATTATGTTGAGCACATTCCCACCGTCCACGAAGAAAAAAAAAAAGCTAATTCTAATTCTAATTCTATTTTAATGTTCTATTCTATTCTATTTTCTAATCTATTCTATTCTGTTCTATTCTTATTCCTATATTCTATTCTCATTCTATTCTCATTCTCATTCTATTCTATTCTTCATACCATTATTCTATTCTTATTCTATTCTTATTCTATTCTTATTCCTATATTCTATTCTATTCTATTCTCTATTCTATTCTTATTCCTATATTCTATTCTAATTCTAATTCTATTCTCATTCTAATTCTTTTCTATTCTTCATACCATTATTCTATTCTATTCTATTCTATTCTATTCTTATTCCTATATTCTATTCTAATTCTATTCTCATTCTATTCTATTCTTCATACCATTATTCTATTCTATTCTTATTCTAATCTAATGTTCTATTCTATGCTATTCTATGCTATGCTATTCTATTCTATTCTATTCTTATTCCTATATTCTATTCTATTCTAATTCTAATTCTAATTCTACTCTACTCTACACTACTCTAGATAGATAGATAGATAGATAGATAGATAGATAGATAAGTAGATAGATAGATGCAGATAGATAGATAGATAGATAGATAGAGATAGATAGATAGATAGATAGATAGATAGATAGATAGATAGATAGA